CGTTATCCCCTTGCTTGGTGTGAATGGATTAAAAAAATTTATATAGGAGCCAAGACTACTATCACCAAGCCGCTAAAAACTTGAGCATTAGAAGCCGGATCAAGCAATGATATACAAATGATTAGCAGGTTTTCATAATTATAATTAAGTAATTCATCGAGTCTGAAAGAAACCTCAACAGGATGCAGAAAGCATTGGACGGCCGTTTCGTCCTACATTTGGGACTCATCAGCAGTGCATCCACTACCGAATTGAAACCCTGACAGTTAGGTTATTATGCAAACGTCATACTAACTGCTTCAACGGACCTCAGTGGCGAAGAGGTAGCAAATCAGACTCCATATAGCGCCTCTCGCTCACATATTCCGTGGGGGGAACTCAACCGAGATTCTCTCTATCCATAGGACTGTACCCCCAGGAGCCACAACTACTATCACCAAGCCGCACAAACTTGAGCATTACAAGCCGGATCAAGCAATGATATACAAATGATAGAAATTATTCGGAGGATTTCATAATTATAATTAAGTAATTCATCGAGTCTGAAAGAAACCTCAACAGGATGCAGAAAGCACTGGACGGCCGTTTCGTCCTATATTTGAAATGATGACTTCCAAGAGAATAAAAGCAAATCCCACGGCAAATATTGGCTAAGAACAATTTGCGTATCCATCGAGTGTATTCATTCACTACTGTTGAAATCTAGTTGATTATATTTGTTCGCACTTGCGTATGCGTTTGTGTTTGTGTGTGTGTGCTTACCCCAATCTAGTATACTAACGTCCTTACATTATAAAATAAATCCTAAGTCATTTTCTTTTTTTAATTTAAAAGGAAAGGAAATAAATTCACCCTGGATATGACGATAAACTACATCCGGCAGCAAGGTCTTTGATCAGGAGGTTTTGAGAAGCGTGAAACTACTTTCTTAATTGCTTTTCAGGTCTACTCTGACACGGGGTGGTAGCATCTGTTAGGGTCCAGCTATGGGCAAATATTGAACACACAAACTGGAGTCAAATCACTATGAAAGTATAAAAAATAATTTTTTTATAGAAAAAAATACCAGCAATACATTTTTTGTAAATTAAGTTACTAATGCACGCAAGAAAATAAAATTTTGACATTAAAGGATCCATACGGATTTGAGATGCCGCTAAAAAAAAACAAGCAAGAAAACAATCATAATTTAGAAAACGCTTTGCTCGTCGTTCTTGATAAACTCCTTTATGAATTCATTTCATTCCAACGATGATATTTTAAAGAAACGAGTAAAAAAGAATTCCAGAATTGCGAAGACAGTATGCTGCTAGTTTAATATCGTCTATAAATACGAGAAATACTAAATATTGTTTAGGCGGTAAATATCACATTTACTTCATGAAGCGAGAGATTTAAATTGATGCCAAGGTAATATTGCTTTAAACCATTAGCCTAAAACGATCCGCAAATATTTGCAAGTCAGAAACATTCGTTTGAAAATCAATAATAACCAAAGAAAGCGGTCAACAGAAAAGACCGTCAAAAGCCTTGCCTTCTCTTGATTGTTGCTTTGTATTTTCATAAAGTATATTCATCCTTTCTTACTACAATGATTCGTGACGATTGCAACGATTTCTGTCAAATTATCTGTTTTAGCTTTGGAAAAACATTTGTCAAATAAAATAAAGTTATTCTACTTTTGATTACATTGAGTTTCATTTCGAATTATTTTGTTGTTAAATCAATTATTTCACCAGATCTTTTCGAATCTTCAAGAAAATAATTTATGAATTCTGTTCAAAATTGTTTTCCTTAAATAAAATTTACGAATCATTCCTAAAATGTTGACAAGACTTGAAAATTATGTTAGGTCTGTTTTTTTTGTTTTTTTTGTATACAGAGATAGTCTCATTTTTAGAAAAATTATATTTTCCAAGAAGTATAATTATCTTTTTGCTGAAATGTTGGTTCATTTAAGTTTCTTTTGGTTCTATCAACCGCTTCTTTTTTTCTTTCTTTTCGAAATCAGTCTTCGCTTTCTGATCATCTGCCGATCAGTAAAAGATAAGATTGAATGTTTCTCGGGCTTGCTAGTCACAAAGAATTAATTCACCGTCAAACTTAAACGGACTAAAATCTAATCACTTATACAGAATTCATTTCTGGAAATGAGTCAGTGTTATGTAAAACAAAGTTAAATATGAGGAATATGTTTTTTCATAAAACAGAAATTCCTGCAATTCCATCTGTTACTAGAATTACTCTGGCATGCGGCGTATTGGCTAATTGATACGTTTTATGTACCTTTCCCAAGAGTATATACGCCTAAGTAAATATAACGACCTGGAATTGGAAGTCAGCTCACCAATTTGCCACTCCCTAGCGGTTATTCATTACACCCAAGCTTACAGTACCTTGTATTCCCAAGTGGTCACCCATCTAGGTACTGACCAGGTCCGACGTTGCTTAACTTCGGTGATCGTACGATAACCGCTGTTTCAACGTGATATGGCCGTAAGCCGACGTTCATTGAAAGTTATAATTTTCGGGAAATCTTTAAAAGATGAAATGAAATATCGAAATCCGAACCTAACACAAGGAGATATTTATTGTTGAAATACAAACAGCGTTTTATTGATGGAAATCAAAGTTTTTAAATCCTGTGAAAATCATGAAGATATGTTTGAGTTTCAGTGTCATTTGAAGTCGAGCGCATCAGAAGAATCAACGTTCAAGATAAAACAAAAGACATGTTTCGGGTTTCTACCAGAGACATAACTCTGCTTCTAATATACAGTGGAACCTCGGTTCACGAATTTAATTCGTTCCTGAAGGCCGTTCGTAACCCGAAATGTTCGTAACTACGAAACTATTTTTCCAATAGGAATCAATGTAGAAAAAGAAGGTCACAATACAATAAAATTGGAAAAGAAAAGCGCAGCACAACACACGAATGTATACAACACAGAGGTCGACTCAGAAGTGATTACTTTGGCAAGGTTCTTCGAGAACCGAAATTTTTGTTCGATAACCGAGAGGTTTTCATTTCGAATTTTCTGTTCGAAAACCGATTTGCTCAACATGTGAGACGTTCGAGAACCGAGGTTGCTCTGTATATATATATATATATATATATATATATATATATATATATATATAAAACAACTTATTTAACTTGTGATTACTTCTGCTAAAAATATGTCTTAGTCATAAAACTATTTGGTGATATTTGTAAAACCTTGTTAAGGATCTCAATTGATAAAACGTTGTAGATTCCGTTGACGGCTTTTCTTTTACGAATCGATCAAAATCCGCCGTATAAAATAAAAAAAGGTTGTTCAACCCTGAACTATGTAACACATAGAAAATGTTGCTTTAACAAGTTAGAAATGCACATTCTATTGAATTAATTGATACAACCTCAGTTTCCCAAGAAACGCACTTTTTTGCGTTTTAGTTCTTAAAATTGTCAGTTTTATAAAATATGAGATTTAGTAAGTTTTATAATCTCTATAAAGTAAAATGAATTTTATAGCGACACATGTTTCCTATTTAGAACAGAAATAAGTCAAGCTAATTGGATTCCTCGACTGTTGGTAATTTAATTTTTACTTCACTTTTGATATCAGAATTTAATGGGGATGGACAATTATGAAAAGCAAAGTACTAATGGTATGATTCTTTCACTTTGAGAAATGCTTTTGCAGCGAAATAGTTGGATTCAAATCTGTCTTGGATTGGTCTATAAGAGAACAAGAGTTTTAATTGTGAATTTGAAAGATTGCACAGATAGCGTCTTATATAAAGAGTATTAAACTTCCAGAAACGAATCCATTTATGAAATAATTTGCATATTTTTTATACAAACTGTCAACAGCTTATTAATTGAATTGTCATGTCATTATTCATACACTTGATGGATTGATTAACTTTCTACGACTTATCTTGTCCTGGGTATGACGATAAACTACGTCCGGTAGCAAGACCTCTGATCGGGAGGTTTTGAGGAGTGGAACCGCCTCTTAGTTTCTGTTGTTCCCAGATCCACCTCTATCCGGGTTGGTAGCACCTATTAGGGTCCCAACTATGGGCACATAGTTAACACCCAAACTGGAGTGAAAACACTATAAAAGTATAAAAATACAAAAAAAATATATTGCCAGCAAAAACTTAAAAAAAATATATTCCCAGCAACACATTTTTGAAAATAAATATCACCATCAATACATTTAAAACAAAATATTACCAACAATAGATTTGACTATCGACCAAAACCCCCTTTACAAAAATACATTAAAAAACTGATCTACAAACTGATTTCTTAAAAGAATACATATTCTGTTCATACAAAGCTATCCTAAAAATCTTGTCGGCATTAAATATCCCACTCAGATTCATATACCGTAAAACAAAATAAACCAAACCATCTAGGGCGTATCAATACTTTGCAGATTATTTAAAGCCAGAAAATATTTTTAGACTATAACAATTTTTATTTTTCAAAATAATAATGATTTTAACAATACTAGTTTTACTAAATAACCCATAGCTAGGGAGAGAAGAATTCATACCTTTAGCAATGGTATTTGCGCGTACCCAGCTAGAATTGAAACTTTGTCCTCAGTTTAACAATTCCGATCCATTACACCACTCGCACACCCAAGCTTACAGCAGCTGGTATTCCCAAGCGGTCACCCATCTAAGTACTAACCAGGTTCGACGTTGTTTAACTTCTGTGATCGTACAAGAACTGGTGTTTCAACGTGACATGTCGTTAAGTCTGTTTATACATTTGACATTAAGGATTATATAACTATATATACACAATGATGAAATGTTTGGTGCTTCCGGCGAGGTTCCATTTTTAAAATTATAAGCTTGCTCATTATCATTTTCACTTTAAACCTCAAGTGGTAATCACTCAATTGCTAAATATGCGGAATAAATTTTCGGTTCATTCTTTTATTCCAGAAAGCACCTAATTCCTTCAGCCAGGTTTTACATTTACAAGAGTTCAGATTAGAGAAGAAAAGGGCTATTCTGTTTATATTTCTGAAATGAGGTATTGTAATTATTTACATTATTTATATTGTTCGGACTGTTGTCTTCATCTTCGTTGCCATATTCACGACGTTTGGCCAGTTGTACGCTCAGGACTTCTTTAGGTGATTGAAATTTCGTACTGAGCCCTTTATTTTGTCTACCGGGGGTAGATTGTTCTAGTTCCATGTACCATGCATTTTCCATATATCTCAGTGTCAGTTATCTCCCTTAACTCAACTCTCCTAGGTTTTTGTTCACCTCAGCTGCAGCCAGGCATTGAACTCACAACTCTTTGGGTCTAGTCAGTGGATTTAACCAACGCTTTTATCCACTGGGCCTTGTGTCCTTGTGGGACAATCACTTGAATAAGGTCGGAGTATACAACGGCTGAAACTCCGTTAATATTGCAACGAAGATTAGGACAACAGTTCGGACATTGTAAATAAGTGGACTATTGTTGACATATCTAGGCTGGAACTGCTAAATCCTCACTTTTAAGCATTGATACCGTTCAAAGCCGTTTAAGCTGATGTGTTGGAGAAGTTTTATTCTTTATTCTCTTCCCAACAGACGCAGTGTTGCAAACCTATCGCTACTCTGTCACTATTTCTATAAAAAAATGTTCAAATGAGCCTATTTCTTGCTTTCATTTTTTTTTCAAACAGGCTCAGCACATTGTGGCCGTGTTCATAGTTCAGAGCTTTATAATTATGACTCCCTAAGCTACTTCCATGTTGTCGAGTGACGCTCATTTCCTCTGTATTCCAAATATGAGGGGAAACTTTCGCCTGGTCAGTTTTTTCCAGGAAGGTCAACTTCCCAAAACCAACTTAACGGCATATTTATATGAATACAATATTATTAACATCTTCAAGCGTCAACCGTTATCTATCCTCCTTATCCTCATAATCTTCATTTCCTACAACCTGCTCTTTCTTTCATATCACACACCTCATCCATCATTACAATTTTAACAGTAACCCTCTACCTTTAGTGACTCTTGAGGCTTGTATTAAGTGAACTTTAGAATAAAAATATAAAAGAAATGTTCTAAAATAGTGGGTTTGTATACAAGAGTTTTACTAATTGCAATTTGATATTACTTTCCGTTTGGTATAAGTTTGGAAATACTTTTTTTTTAAAAAATTAAGCCTCTATTTTCTGCAATCAGGAAAGAATCACTGATTGATGACTGACTTAAGTTGTTGTTGCTTAACTTTGATTTGTTCTATAAGACTCAAGGATGAAGCCATTAAGCGGATTTCTTTAGAGTGATGATAAGAAAAGTCAGCTAACCTTGCGAAAGGAGAAACTACGTCTGTCAAAGTTGGATACTAATTGTGAGTTTATTGTTTACCTCCGCTTGTTCTATAGAATCATGTCGGTAATTTGTAATAAGCCAAATACTATGTTTATTAATCCTACGCCACCATTAAATCATAGACAATTACGGAAAGTCCACGAATTACCTTCGTTCTGATGTCTCAAAGGCTATCATTTTCTTCTTCTTCTTCTCCTCCTCCTCCTCCTTCTTCTTCTTCTTCTTCTTCTTCTTCTTCTTCTTCTTCTCCTCCTCCTCCTCCTTCTTCTTCTTCTTCTCCTCCTCCTCCTCCTCCTCCTTCTTCTTCTTCTTCTTCTTCTTCTTCTTCTTCTTCTTCTTCTTCTTCTTCTTCTTCTTCTTTAATTTTCGTTTTTTATTCCTTTCCGTCTGATCCTGTTTTAGCATTTTGAAAGTTCCAGACTTCAGAAGTCTGTTCGTGTGCCGTAAACAGAAGCGAATTAATAAAATGTATTTTTTATTTATTTATTTATTTATTTTTTTTTTGAAACCACTGATCTACTCAGACGGCTATCTTAATCTTTGTTGTTTCTGTGACGACAATGATCATATAAGCAGTTTCAGCAATTATCTTTGGCACAATCGCTATACCACCATTCCCAACACACACACAAACACACGCACTTGTATGTACACAAGGAAAATGAGAACAAAATGGTCACTTGTCAGAAAGAAACAGTTAACATTTCTGAGAGACTTAAGGAGTAAAGAAGGCTTGGAGAATTTAACACTCACAGGGCAAAAGAGACGTGGGGTGGACATCAAGCATTTGACCTAACGGCCTTGTGTAAGTTGATGGCAGTACATGGAGGGATAATAAAAAGACAAACATTGATTAAAACTACAAAAGGTAGGAAATCGTGGAGAGCCCTTGTCGCCTACGCCCTGAAGACAAAAACGAGTGAAACATTTTCAAACCAGTCCACTTGATTTCTAAACTGTTTCAAATAAAACTGCACAAAAGTCACGAACAAAGAAAATGTCATTAACTATTTCAATAAGGAAAAGCTCCTATTCCAGAAAGAAAAAAAAGAGGCCATTTCATTTTCATTTTAAGTTTTAAAAAAGAAGACATTTCTCCTACATGGAAATTGGCATTTGCTATGCTTTAATCAATGAGGCAGATGCTTTTTGTC